GGGGGGGGGGGGGGGGGGTGTTGAATTGCTTATTTAAAAAAAACTTTATAAGTAGTTGACTAGTTTACCAATTAGTCGACTAGAAATAAGAAGAGGATAATAGTAAAAGCAGAGATGAAATATAGGAAATAAAGACACCAGAATTTTATACTGGTTCGGATTCAATGTGAATCCTAGTCCAGTCCCCTTGGGTTGCAAGGGTGTTCTCTTTCAGTGATCGATGTTTCTTGAGTACAGAATGAATGATGTAGCTTTATACCAACAACTTAGTCTCTATGTCTCTTTTCTTTTCTTGATACAATGCCTCACCAGTATTTATCTCTTTTTCTTCTCTCACTAATTTCACAGCAGATCTAAAAGAACTACAATACTTGTTTAGAGTAGAACAAAAAGAGGGAAGATAGTTCATTCAACGTATGTGTTGTCACGTCAGCAACATCTGTATATATACTTTCCACGAGGCCTTCAAGAATCTTGAGAGATTGCAAACCAAGGGAGTTGATCCTTGAAAGGAATCATAAGTTGATTCTTTCCAAGAATAAGGTCAAGTTCCTGTTGATCTTCCTTGATTTATGGTTTTGACGAGCTTTCCATCCGCTAGGCATATTCGCCGGATCCCTTGATTTCTGGCTTCATTGATTTTTAGTGATCTCGTTTCCCTTTGATTTGGGGCCTTCCAGTAATAGCTTCCGTCAATCTCTGATTGATTACTCTTGCCAGATTTCCGCTACTTCTTCCTTGCTGATCATTGATTCTTTTCCTCGTTAGCTTCCGTCAATCTTTGATTGACTATTCTTGCTAAATCTTTGCTACCTCTTCCTTTTTCATCGCTGATCATTGATTATGTTCCTTGATCTATTCCTGAACAATGCTGCTTCTTTAATCCCTTTAATTTCTTCCTTGTGATCCTACACCAAATGTAATATATTATTTTTCATCATTGAAACTTATAACTAACAATCTCCCCCCTTTTGATGATGACAAAAATAATATATGTATAAACAACAATTGACTTTCCTATAGTTCCTGTAGTTGACTCCCCCTCAATGAGTGCGACATAGTTTAGTTGACTGTCGACTCTTGCAATGTTCCTGTACCTGCAATGTATGTACAGTTCTTTCTCCCTCCTTTTTGACATCAGCAAAGAGGGGATATCTAGATTCTAAAACAACCAATGTAAAGACAGGCACTGTCGCGCCCCGTTTTCTCGCGAAAGCGGGTTTCGACGTTGTGACAACTCCTTTGGATGGGACATAGAGTACTAAAAGAAGAAGAGTCGCCACCTAACGGTTTTTGAGGTGCGTTAGGGCACCTATTATGTAGATAACTCTGTTTAACTAGTAAATGCCACCAAAGATCGGGTAAGGGCTCAAATTACCTAAAAAAGAAAGTGTTAGGCACTCTTCGAGATCCATAACTATGGGTCCCATCCGAACTTAAGATTATGTGGATTACAATTACGCTAAGTGATCAAATAAACATAGGGAATATAAAGGTCAATGAATTTCATTACAACACGATTAGTACAGATCTTAATACAAATATAGGGATACAACTATTTAGATCTAATAGCAATATATAAAGGGGGGGGGGGGTCCCAAGTTTTTTAAGCCTAATGGATCACCCCCTACAACATAAATAATACTTCGCAACTCCCCTGAGGTAGAGAGTTACTCATATTATTCAGCGGGCACAGACTATCATCTCCTACTACCCGATTATTATGTTAAAGTTGTTTACCTAAAAGCGCTCTAATTCAATTGTAAGTTGTGCTCTATGCGTGCACTACCGTCCCATATCTATGGTCCAGGAGGTATTGGACCTCTATTTGGGTGGTTCTAGACCTTACTTAAGCTGCTCAGAAATGTTAAAACTAGGCGACATACAAAAATAAATTGGACTTCAAATATGGGCAGTTAAGGGCTTAAGTTAGCCTCCACACTTAAGCAACAAATGCACGCGAAACAAGTTTTCATGTTAGGTAGTTTCAGAATTAAGAACCATAAGCCCTATAGACATGATTTCTATGTGACTTTGAATTTAAACATACAAGCTGTTTCAGATGCAAGGCGCTGCTCATAGACAGGATTTCCAAATAATTATACGGTTGTTGCATGCTGATGACTGAGATTACAGATTTCCAGTTATTAAACCTATAGACGTTGTGTCTAAATGATTTACGCAGTAAGGGACAGTGAAATCTATTGGAGATGCCCAGAATTACTCATGCTTTCTAACAGTGGCATAACTAAACAATAAATAGCATTTGAAGAGTTTAGCAATAACATTGTTAAAGCGAGTAGTAATACTCTATAGGCAGGATCTCTTACAATTGGCGATTGAAACCAATTTTATTATGCTTAGCCCCCATATAGACATGTTTTCTAAGTGAGCATTATGATATAATAGCAAATTAAATAATTAAAATCCTATAGGCATGATTTCTAATGAATATGCTGCATTTATACAGATTGAAAAAATGTCATTGACATTTTTGTTTCCTATAGGCATGCTGTCTAGCAGTAGACATAAGGATACTTATACTTTGATAACATACAATTTATGTGAGTGTGTGATCCTCCTAATGACATGATCTCTACCACTGGCAGTTAAATGGCATATATAGCAAGTCGGATAACAAGTAAATCACATGAATCTTATAGGCATGTTTTCTACCTTTGCATACAAATATTAGAGTATACCCATTCCCCCAATTTCACTAACACCCACAATTGTTCATTACAAAGTTATTACAAGCCCAGCAATGAATGTAACTACAAAGGATTATACAAATAATAACAGTAGGCCCACAGTAGGCCAAAAAGAAATACCCAGCATTGCTTGGGCCTTCAACAACTCTCACATAGCATACCCAGGTTTCCAACAGGGAACTATGTTCATCAGCACAACCCAGAATCCATAGAAGAACTCAAGACAAATCATACAACCATAGATTGACCATATTACCCAGACATTTGGTTTACATATTCAGTAGACAGCAGTAAGAAAAAATAGAGTGTCAGAGATAGCCCAGGTCTCAGTAATAGAGGGAGTGGCTAAAAGACCCCAAATCCTAGTGTGTTAGAGTTCACAAGGGTCTCAAATGGACCCCGAGTAGTGCTCACACTAGGGAGGTCAGTAGTAAGAGTCTTGGTGGCCTTGGCTTTCAGCCGGCCAAGAATGATAGGTTTAGAATAGCATAGGTAGCAAATGAGAGTGAGTGGACAATAGTTAAGGGACAGAATACACTTATAGTTTTAAAAATAGGCATAGCAAAGTTGAGAACATAGAACAGTTTAGAAGCAGGTTCAACACTTAGTAAAATAACACATTGGCTGAAACATTGCAAGAGTTAGGGAAGGATCATGTTTGCAAGATTGACAAGCTATCATACTAAGGTGCATATTATCAAACAAGTCTAAGTAGGGCACTAAATTAAAGGCTTAAAGGTCCAAATTATGCTAGGGATTCATCACAATATCAAAAGAAAAACATGTTACACATCATGAAACAAAGCAGTTCAAACATGGCAGGGAAACACAGGTTGAGATAACTGCTCTAAAATCTCAATTAATCACCAAAGAGGTATAGAATCAAGTGAGCTAAATACATGCTAAGTGACATAATAACAGGGAAGCAAGTCATAGTTAATAGTGAAGGTCTTAACATAGGTTATAACACATTACAGATGTGAGGCATTCATTACAGGGATTCCGAACAAAGCAAGTAAGCATGTTCATGCTCAACAACAAATGTGAACATTCAGGCACCAATACATTAGCTAAACTAACTTAAGAGGGTCCAAATTATCCAAAATAGGCATAAACATGTCTCAGAACTGGCAGCATTAGGTAAACTCAAGTGCTAGGAAAGTTCAGATTTCAAAACAGGTTCAAATGCTAACATATTAAGTCATAAATTTCAGAAGTAAGAATATGCAAATCATAGACACATAAGAACGAAATTGCAAAAGTCAAGTGACTTACTAGTTAAACGGACAACAATAAAGAACAAAATACCACAGTATTCTGACTCAACAAAGAGCAAGAACCCAGAATCTTAAAGC